GTCATAAAATATGATTGCTTTCCCACACTTATGCTTCAGTCAGTTTTATTCACTACAGGAAACAAGAGTAAGGAGCAGCACCAATTGTAAAGTTGCACTTACTCAACTAATTGTATATAGAGTGATCAATATATGAAATCAAATGTTATGTCCACAATGCATTAAGACATTATCAAGCTGCTCTGCTTCTTGGCTGCTTTAATATGCCTCGAGGTATAGCATACCACTTCAGTTATATGTGGTTCAATAGTTTCTTTAAGCTGAGATGTAAACATGCCTTTACAGAAAAGAGCAGACCTAAAGCTAATAGATCTACATTGAATTCATCTCAAATACGTGTTAAATTTTCTTGACACGATTACCCTTTCCTTTGGAAACTTTAGACTATTCTTAGCTAATAATAATAATCATAATAATAATAAGTGTAACACCCCCCCCCCCCAAAAAAAAAAACAAACCCTCAAACAAATATTGTCCCTTATACTACACTCCCAACCTTTTACTCTTTGTCCTGGATATTCAGAACAAAGGAGGAAAAATCCCATCAAGTTTTCTTTTAAGCATTGCACACTGGTTTATGCTATCTGCTGTGCGTGAGTTTTTGCCTGTAGCAACAGAAGGGAACAACTAAGATGGCTCTAGCTAAGGTCAGTCCAGCTGGTAGCAGGAGACAAGATCCCTGAGCTCTATTCCTGCCTCTGGGACTGATTTACTGAACAACCGGTGCTAAATTATTTAACCTATTTGCCACTATTTCCCTGCTTATAAAATGAAGGCATTAAGCTTTACCTACCCAGAGCATCAGTCCGTTTATTGGCTCGTATTGCTGCGGTGCTTTCCAAACTTCGGCGCTGGCAGGAAGGGCGGCCGGTCCCGCAGGCGGGAGCGCAGCGCGCGCAGCAGGGAGGCATCCCCCCGGAGACGTTCCCATCTGGCCTCCAGAAGAGGCAGTTGCTCCCCATTGACTGAGTGAGGGAACTTCAGCAGATACATGGGCAAAGCTCCGAGGGCTTGTAGATGGACAGGGTGCTTTTGGTCACTGAAACAGCACCAAAGTTGATCTTGACTTCTCACGTCGTTTCTTCATGCGCTTTATGTGGGTGAACATATTCTTGGACAGTAAACAGAGGACCCTGACCCTAAACAATTTTACAGTAATTCAGCACCTCCAGTAATTAGTCAGACATGGCTTCTTTCATTATTTCTGTCTGTAAGAGCGTGCCTCTAGCTGTTGCTGCACTGTGGGCTAAGCCAGGCTGGCTAATGGTGTACTAAGCTGGTGCCTGACAGGCAGTGCTGGGTGACCCTCCTGACGACTGTCTAATTCCACGTGGCTTCGCTCTTCAGCGTGTGGTTAAGACCAGTTCTTTTCTGAAATATGATTTAGTCATCATTAGTTCTTCGACGTTCTATGTTAATGTGTGCTGCTGAAGTATGGCTTCAGCATATTTATTCATCTCTCAGTCGTCTTGATCATGATATGCACTTGGAGTTGTACTTCCAAGTACCAGCAACAGAACCGGTGTGTAATTGCACATCAGCTACCCAGGGTAGTTACATTACCCGTTTAGAAACAGCTGTGGCTATTTTCAGCTTAGGATCTTAATGTTTCAGCATGAGGTTTCATGCTTAGCCCTCCCCTACGTGCATGTCACTGGCAATACTCTAAGCTGCCGTAATTCGCAGCAAGGAGACCAGCAGCGAGCAAGTACCTGCTCCGGCAGCGCTCTGCTTTCTGAGCCAGTGACCGCTGCAGGGGCGAAGGCGAAGTGCTCAGACAGCACAAGAATAATGTCTCCTTTTGTAGACAGCAACTTTCCTGCTCGGGCTCTTTCCAGCCCCTTTTCAGCGTTCACGTGGACTTGGCTCGTAACCTCCGAGGGTGGAGCGACTGCTGCTGTGGCTTCATCCAAGCCACTGGTGAAACTTCAGTAAGGTTCAACAGGGTATAAATGCACCCACTGTGTTTTGGTTCAAGATCTAAATTCGCAGAGGGAACTAAGGTGCTGTCACGTCTGCATGGTTTCTGGGTCCAGAAGAGGCAAGAGGGCACAGCTCCATAGGCCTAAGGTCTGTGCTACTTATATCAGTTTCAGGATTGCAGCCAATGTGGTTTTGCTCCCCAGAGCTTAATTTTTTGTTAATTGACCAAATTTGTATAGATCTCTAGAGGAAGAGTAAAATCTGTTGTTGTTGCAGTAAAACTTCATTATAGACTTGATGTTACGTTTCATAAGGAATCGGTTTGTGAAGCATATGTTACTGCTCTGTTGGAGAAGGTGGAGAGTAAAACTGCAGAGAAGCAGTTGAGTTTTCGAGATCAGACATAACTGATGAGTTGCTGGAAAATTGCCGTGGGCTGTAATTAAAGGGATGCTGTCAAAGGCATAGCGGACATAAAAACGTACCTTCTTCAACCACTGTCTCCTGTGGTGAGTCCATCTTAATTTTCAACATGTTTGATTGTGAATTGAATTTTGAGAGGGAGAAGGGCATGTCTTGTTTTAGCAAGACCTTGCTGTATCTCCAGGCTTTTCTGTGGGCATTCCAGGCTGTGCTGTTCGCGCTCCCCCCCCCCCCCCCCCCGGTCTGCTCTGGGGAACGTGCTGACAACAAGAGAGGGCAGGCTGGGTAGCTGCTCGCCACGTTTTCCACTTGCTGTGTTGGACGCAAGCAACCAAGCGGGCTGTACTGCGGGGGTCACCTGGAACCAGGACTGGAGTTTCCACTAGGGATAGACGCGCAGCCCAGCTTGCCTGGTGGGTAGAGGTAACATAGAGGCCTCTAAGATGGATTTCCTTGGCAGATACCAGAAGATTTCTGTGCAAGGAACACTTGAATTCTCCTCCACTTTGGTAGTTTTAAAGCTTCAGAAATGTAAGGAAACTTGGACGCTGTCTTGTCCTGGGCACCAGTTTTCCCAATGGGGAGAGGTGTCAGCTACGCCGAACGGAAAGCAGTGCTCCTAAGGACACGCGCTGGCTTTAAGGGAGCTTCTGTATTGCTGTGATTGTAGCTTAGACAGATGCATTGGCTTTAAACTAGCTAGCCGCGGCACTGCTAGCAGTTCAGCTGCAGCAGTCGAGAGCTCAGGGCGGTTACAAAATCCTTCTGAGCAGCTGAGAGGAGCAGCAGAGCTTTTAGCAAGCGCTCCATCCTGCAGCTGTATGTTCAGGCAGCAGCAGTGCTACTGCTAGCCAAAACTAATTTAAAGCTGTGTTAGAGCTGCCACAGATTGTACTCACAGGAGCGGCTGCAAGATAGATGCATCTTGTAGCTCTCTATCTGCCCAGCCAGGCTGGGCCAGGTCTTGAATAATGACCTAATCGCTGCACTTTGATGGGCCGGGTGGTCTCTTTCCAGGTAATGGCGATAGGTAACAGCAGCAATAAGAAGACAGCTATAGGGTTTATTTTTCTTTTTTTTTTCTTTCTAAACTAGCATTTCATTTGGTGCAAGTGTTAATATTGACAAGCATATTTTATAGTTTGCAAATGCACATTAAGCTGAGACGGTGCATTGGTTTTTAATGTTTAATGCACATAGTTTAGATGGCATGCATTAATCATATTCCTATTGCCTTTGTTATCTTAATGGAAGAAATAAGCTCTTTTTAAAAAAGAAAAAGGGTTAGACTTTTTTTTAAGATGCATTTTATATCAGCAGCTAATGAAGAGGAAATAATGATGACTCTGCACTGTAATATATATTAGAACACTAATTAGACTATAGCAGAAGTGCTTACGGATGTCTTTTAAACACCTGCTTGGTAATTTTCAAGCCCATGCGTTACTACATTTAACAATGCATGCATGATTAGAAGGCAGAGTTAAGACTGAAATATGAAACCCAGTACACGTCAGCCTGCATTTTTGCCTGTCTTTCAGCTTTCCATACATTTAAGAAAAGGATATTGTAGCTGGTCATTGAACAGCCCTTTTCATTGTTTGGGCTGGTTCTTTGCTTTCTGTTGCCTCTTGCAGATAAAGGAGGAGGAGAGAGATTTGTTTATCTTTGTGACTCGCGTGTGACCACGGAAAGGCATCAAGCTTTCAGGGCAAGAATTCCTGCTTCAGACTATAATTTTGCATATGTATGAGGCCTGAATTTTCTGTATTGCATCTCCAGCATTTGCTCATCATAGATTTAGTTGACTGTGTGTTTTGAGACCATTAAAAGCTGTGCATATAGAAATAACGTTGTCCTTTATTTTTAAAGCTATATTTTAAAATCTCCTTCTTTCGTTGTAATAGGAAACAAAAAATATTTCTACCGTACATCTTATTTGCCTTACATTTTTGTCCATTATGTAAATAACTGAATTATAAACATGGATAACAAATGTGGAGGCCTCAGCATAATAGTTTACAATGAGAATAATAAATAGTCTTAATATAAAAGTGATTCCCATATTTCTCTGATGGGCCAGTGCTTCATTTGCGGCCTTTGAACTTGCACTGAAAGAACTAGATATTGTCAATAACTTGTTCATAAGAACGTGTATCCCAAGATAGCAATTGCTTGCTTTCCATTTTCTTACACAAAACGTCTCAAAGCTGGTACCGTGTTGCAGGACAGTGATAGTCTTTTAGCATAAGAAAATGTATAGTTATGCTCCCTATGTGCAGCACTGGCATGCACCGTAGGAGAAGCAGCTTTGTGATGGGCTGTGGTTGCCTGAACCGTTTTCAGAACGGAGCCTTTTCTCCAGAAATGCCACATGGGACAACGTGGCTTGCTTAGGCTGGGGCATGCTGGCTGAGGTTTGGATGATCCCTGCCTTTGAAACAGCATGGCAACATATATGCAATTATTTGCAACCTAGGGCTTAATGAATTCTTTATTAATGGCAGAATATCAGCTCCAGATTTGCAGCCTGTTGTGAATGCTTGTGTTGCCCATGTTAGATCCTTCCTTATTGACAGCAACCCCTCAACGATCCTTGAATACTGATTCTCTGCAGTGTTTTACCGCCTTTCTTCTCGCTCTCCTTTTCACAGGCAATCTTTGCTGAGCGTGCTCTTCCCGGGTTGGAAGCTATGGGCTTGGCCGTGCCTGAGAACCTGAGCAGACCCCAGACGAGCATGCTAAAGGTGAGCAACTCTGATTCAAAGCAGGTTTTTTTTTTTTTTTTTTTAATTATCTTGACCGTGAACATTTTCAACTGATGCACTAAATGCTGGGATAGTTACTCATTTAAATGCAGTATGACCTCATTTCTCATGAAGTGAGACATTTAAAAGTAATATGGAATATGCCCATTTTAAAGGTATGTCAGAGACTTTTTTCCCTCTATTTTGAAATTTTTTGTACTATCTGCAATTTTATATGACCACTTTTCAGGTGGGTTTTGTGAGCAACGAATGCTTCCATCCTGTACGTAGAAGCCTTTTTGACTTACGCACAAGGATGCTGCTGCTTTATATAATTTTTGTTTAGTACCCTGAAGATAGCAGTGAAGTTGGAGTAACAAGCACTGAGAGGATGTAGCTGAAAAGGAGAAGAGTGTCAGGGAAGTCGAGCTGTACCCATTAGTAGTACTTTGTGTTTGTCTCTTTGAGTGCCAGAATGGCAAGATTTATGGTCTGCCTTGAGGAGTTTACAGCCCAAGTACCAGACGAGAGGTAGGAGGTGAATGCAAAAACACAAACTGAAGGTGCTGTTGAAGAGAAAGAGGGAGAAGGGGGATCTTGTTCCTCCTCCTCCCTCTCGTTCTCCACGCTAACTGGTGTAGATGGGGCCCCAGGGCTCCCGGGCGGTGGTAGAGCGGGTTGCCGCAGGCAGCCAGGTTGGGTAGGAGCATCGTACGGGTGCTTGCCAGGTTTGGAGGAGCTACAGGGCAGGGAGCGGTCGCCGGTGCTGGGCGACAGAGCCGGCCTCCGAGGCGGCCCAGCGGAGCCCGCCGTACCAGTAGTACCACTGACGCTTGCCCCTGGGGCTGCAGTACTGGGGGAAAGTGCCTTGGGGAGGAGCTGTACAGGCAGAAAGAAACAGTGGCTGTTTTCTCAGAAAACTCCAAGTTTTATACCCCAAGTATAAGACCAGGGACTTGCCTAGAAACAGACAAAAAAGCAGCAGACAAAAAAACAGGAATCTGAAGCCCAACTTGTGACTCTAAAACCTCTGCTCAGCCTTCTCCTAAACTGAATGTGCCTGAACAGCTTAGGAAGCAAAGGGGGTTGAGTTTAAATTTCCTGGGGTGTCTCAGAGCTGCAGCTGTGACCCTGCCGTGGGCTGTCTGTAGGCAGAGCCTAGTTTGCATGTTCATCTGGTGTAGGAGTCAGGGCACCTTCTCTCTGAACCCAGGGTTTCGGAGCTGGCAGTTCAGGTCACTGCGGGCAGGGTGGGGGCAAAGGGGGTCTCTCATCCACGGTGCTTCAAAAAGATCAGAGACGCTGGCTTAAATCCCTTTGGGCAGGGGAGGGAGCTGAACCGGCGCCTCGCGCTTCCTAGGGACTGCTCCAATTCACTGGGAAAGCAGCCGCACGCAGCAGCCTCTCTGAGCTCAACGCAAAGCATGAGCTGTGCTTGCTTCCCTGCAAAATGGGTGGGCAGGGAGGGCCTCTGCAAAGTCCTCTGGGCTCTAGATCTCAAGTAGGCTGAAAAGGTTCCTTGTCATACTCATTTTTTGGTGCTGGGAATCTCTGCTGCACTCCTAGGCTCAGTACCTGGGCTTTTTTAGATTCCCCTGTGAGGCTGCTCACTCTCAGGTCACTCTTTAGTCACCTTTTTCATAAAAACAAGCATTATGGACTAATGGATAATCATGAGCGTTGGCTGCAGTTGTCCGGGACGGGGGAATCTACTGGGAAACCTCCGACAGCTTCAAATTACGACATCAGTCTCATCTTTGCAACAAAACCTTTACCAGATGGGTCTAAATTAAAGCAGGGCCTTTCCCATTTCTTCATAGAGGATAGCTAATTAACTGCCGGATGGATAGCTCTGTCCCTGCTGAGCAGAAGTAGGTGTTTGATACTGAAGTATTTATGTGTTTGGTTCCAGTGCATCAGTAAGGAGAGATGATGAAGTCGTTAGAATAAATATCAATACGCGTATTGAACTTTCCATTATTCTGTATTAGCAGAGCTGGCCAGAAAGAGAACAGTTCTTGAGAAACGTGTTGTGAAAAAACGTCTCTTTTATTTCTTTTTTATTATTGTTCTGCCATGACCAACTCTAGGTCAGTTTGTGTTGTTTCTCATCAATCCTACAAGTAGAGTTCTGCCAAAATCCGTGGTCACAGCTGAGGAGCGCACGTAGCAACGCAGAGGAGGCTGAAATAAAGCTGTGTCTCTTCTTGCTTTCCAAGTGCTGCCTGCATCAGTTTGATTATTTCTGGCAGTCATTTCCCAGGCAATAGCCAGGTTTGTCACCTGACGCTTGAACCTTTGCTCGTTTAACAGGGCTCCTCACGATCCTCAGTTTGCTGTCTGCAGAAGGGCTCGCCCCGGGCTGTGTTGGGGTACTTAATTCACTTTTCGTCTTGTGCGTGAAAACGGCTCCAAGAGATTCTCCTCCTGCGGCAAGAGATCTGGAAAGGTCTGAAAGTTTTCAGGTAGGTGCGATACAAACTGTGCTGATGCCAGTCTTGTCTCTTTTCTGTTACATTAGCTATAAAACACCACTTCTCCTCTCCTCCCCTAATCAAATTAGAAACGGCCTATTTCTGTACACTTCCCACAAGCGAATCTGCGTGGCAGAAAGAAAGAGTTCTAGCTTATCTTGGGTTATGGAAACTTTTTTGTGCTTCTAGAATAAAAGATTTTTTTCCCTTTGTCCAACTTTCTTGTAGTCAGTGAAACCTTCGCAGAGAGTCAGAAGTTGTTCACGGAGGTCACTGATGGCATTGGTCCTAAGGAAGAACCGGAGAGAGAGGCGAGACCTCAGAAGGTCTCACCCATATAAGCCGCTCATTTAGAACTGAAAGTAATTTACCTGCTGGATCATGTTACTGATAGAAATGTTCATGCTTGTGGTGGTAATAGCAACAGTATGGTTTCTGACACGTTTTTACGGGTGGGCAGCAGAAAACAGTTAATCAGTAATTCTGAGTATGTGATTTGAAACTGTTTAGAGAAGTGGATGGCTGGGAGCTAGGACAATACTGGTATATGAAATGTGATACATGCTTTTTGCTCAAGGATTTTCCTCCTTGCTATGTGCCCCTCAATAGAGACTCAGCAGTGAAGGTCATAAGAGGGACTGGAGTTTTGGCCCATGCATCTGCTCACTGAAACTCGGTCATCTCATATCGAGGACAACAAACCAGCACCAGTCTGCAAGAGCACGTATGTAAATAAACCATTAAAATCTGAGGTTTTCCTTAGCAACTTTTATTGAAGAAATTGTATAAAGACGAAGCTAGAACATTAATGCTTTACTGCAGGAACAGCCAAACTTAATTTGTCAGTCCCAGAAATGGCACTTGGCAGCGCTGCGTCGGGGTCACGAGCTGCTGTGAAGGAGTTTTGCAGTATTAACACTGTATTCGCCGTAGTGCGCAAAGCACGTGGCGTCTAAGTGCAAACTAAATGAAGTCAGTGTGGCCGTTGCTGCCTGCCCGCGCTCTCAAGTGCAAGACCAGCGTCCAAACGCTGCTGCTCGGACCTCGTCCCTTGGCTCTCCCAGGCCGCACAAGTCACATTAAAGGTGACAGCAGTAAACCTTACAGCAATTTCCAAAATAGTCATGCGCCATATTTCAGATTTAGCTTTCTCCTTTCTCATAAAAAGAAACTGTTAATTCCTCTGTCCTCAATTTGCATAGGATAAATCATTCCGTGACAGGTGAAATCCTTGCTTTCCCATCTGCTCTTTTCTTTGCTTCATCTTGTGTGATTAAAAGGGATTTACGTAAATGGTGGTAGCTCATATCGTTGTGGGTCTGCAGTGGGTTCCTTTGTGTAGCCTCGCGGGCCTCGGAGCCGATGGCATCTAACTAAAGGAGAAGGGTGTCTCGCTGAGTCTTCTTAAGCATTTTCTTTGCTTGGAATGGCTCAGGACGAAATGTGAAAATAGTGTGTGCCGTGTCTGCATAGCGTTACAAAACACAACTGGTACTGGAGAGCCTTCTCTTCCGGCACGGTCTTTCTGACAGTGCCCTTCGCTCACAGACGCCCGAGCCCTTCGGCTGCCGCGGGTCCGAGCG